GAAGACCTGAGAACCGAAAAAATTTCAATTAACAGGGGAGTTCGCCAAGGTGATCCTATATCTCCAAAACTTTTTACGTTGGCCTTGGAAGACGTTTTTAAAATGCTACTGTGGGAAAATTAAGGTGTCAACGTTGATGGTATCTTTTTAAACGCTTTGCCGATGACATAGTGCTTATTAGTTCAGATATCCAGGAGCTTAAGAACATACTAGAACAACTAAACGAAGCTTCAAATAACGTCGGATTAAAAACGAATTTATCAAAAACAAAAATAATGAGCAGGACTGAGGAAAACATAAGAATAGCAGACAAAACTTTAGATAATGTTGGTGAATATACAGGGTGGGGACTTTAACTGGAACTAATTCGCTAGAGCCTTCGAATAAAATATGTGGGCAAAACGCAAAAACACGTCGATCAAGATTTTTTGCTTGAGTTTTTTTCACATTATTTTTTTATACAGGGTGTTCCAAGAACAGCTGTACGGTTGTCAACTTTATTTTTCCAAATGGTAGCCCCTGTATATTACGACATTTCTGGATTCTGCTGAAAATTCTAAACATATTTCATTCACAATGTCATATACCTATCTTCAACTGTTTCGGAAATATTGACAGTTGAAAATTTTTGCAACTTTGACAGGCTGTAAAACCTTAACGGTTAATTTTAGAGGAAAACCGATTTCACATTCCTGTCTTAGATTTCCATAAGCTATCATTTGACACCAACTTTGAATTTAATCCATGATTAAAAATTCCAGTTAAATTCAATCTCCAGTTAAATTCAAAGTTAGTGTCAAATGATAGTTTATGAAAATCTAAGACAGGAATGTAAAACTGGTTTTCCTCTAAAATTAACCGTTTAGGTTTCACAGCCTGTCAAAGTTACAAAAAAGTCAATGTTCAACTGTCAATATTTCCGAAACAGTTGAAGATAGGTACCTATATAACATTGTATATGAAATATGTCTAGAATTTTCAGCAGAATCCAGAAATGTCATAGTATACAGGGGCTACCATTTGGAAAAATAAAGTTGATAACCGTACAGGCTAAATGGTGATGGTATAGTGGGATACTAAATTATTTTCCAGCATTGTGTCTATAGAATTAGTCATAGAACAACAAACTGTAATTTTAACTCTAAATGACAGCTGACTCCAACAGTTCAACGACGTGTGGTTGTGGTATCGTGTGACATGTGACTTTGTTACAGTAACTTGTTTACGTTGTTTGATGTAGTAAACTTGACGTTTCGTTCTTGACGGTCAATGTCAGTGCAAATTGTGCGTTCTCAAAACCGTGATGTGTTGCCAGATTGGATAAACTAACTAAAATCTGTTTTTTTTTTAAAGATAATTCCCCAAGTCAAAAATTTAGTAACTATGTTGGCAACACAAGCCTTTTCTACATGAAAAATTTGATAGCATTGACAATTTCACATTGTATTGCCAACCTAATGTCAGTTTGACTTTTATCTTTAAAAAAAAAAACGCACTTTACGTCATGAACTTTTATTTTCACGTACGGGCGGGACTAAGAGAAAATTCAAAAAGCAAAATTCCAGTGTATTGCGGTTTTTACAAAGCAACTGATTACACTAAATAGTACGACACGTCGAGTATATCACTACGCAGTAGTTAAAAATCACTTGTAGGTATACTACCCCATTAGTGCATAGCAAGATAATTAATGGTGCATTAATTTGAGCTGAACAATGAAATAATTGGCGAGATAACGACGGGACTAGTTTGAACTAGAAAAGCAAGCTCACAAGCGGATTTTATGGAATATTCTACAAACTTTTTTAGAATTCTATTTGGAAACCGTGAGTAATAGAAAAATAGTGACTTCATTACTGATTTCGACGTCGAAAAACAACTCCAAAAAGTAATTTTCTAGAACATTCCATCGTGTTTGAAATTTGACTTCGCCATAGAACTTGAAATTTAAATTCAAGTTTCAAGAAAAATACAAATTATTCTATGGTAATTACACGACAGCAAGCAGCCGAAATGGAGCAAGTTAATCAAATGTTGGCGGGATTCATGAAAACTTTGGAGTTTTGGACGACAAAAGACAAGACGAAGAAGCCCGAAGACATGTAGAAAAAACAACAGCAGAAAGACCAAAGACAGAAAGACAAATAAGAATAAAACAAAAAGAACAGGACCAGCTTGCAGCACTGTTAAAACAACAAGAAAATCGAAGACAAAAAGAAAAACAAGAAGATGAAGACTGAAGACAGAAAGGAAGGAACAGAAAAATAACAGGACCGTCTTGTAGCAGTTTTACATAAACAAGAAGATCGAAAACAGAAGGAAAAACAAAAAGAACGAGAAACTAGAAAAACAGCACCGGCTTCAGGAAAACTTCAAATTTTAGCGAGAATGGATTCAAACCGTAATCCCTGAAGAACAAACTTAATTCGAGAAATTTCTGAAAGTGCAAGACAATACGAATGAAATGGAAATATTACGTGAAGAAGTTGGGACTGTTCATCAGAAAGTTGAAAGTGCTCTTCAGAAAGATGGAACTGTTATCAGGGAAGTTGGAAATTTCCGTCAAAAAACGGATAGTTTTAAGAAGAAGATTAAAAAATTGGAATGTGACTTGAGGTCAGGAAATGTCTCAGCCTTGTCTGCACTTGGTAATAAAGTTAAGCCACCACCATATGACAGACAGACATCGTGGGCCATGTACAGACGTCAATTCCAATTCCAATGACTAATGGCTGGAGCTCCGATGACATGGCATGGCTACAGGGTTGACTTTACAATTGCGTGGTCCTGCCTTAGACTTATTAAGAGATTCTTCTGCCTGCTGCTCAAAAAAAAAACTATGGTGCGCTAATGCGCTTGTCGATGCGTTAGAGCGTCGTTTTGGAGATCAACAGGCAACAAGAGGCTGCAGAAAGCCTACAAAAACTTGAAACGGACATCCTCCGTGTGGTTACTTTGGCCTACTCGGAAGAAGCAACGGAAATGTTAGAACAACTAGTGATCAAAAATTTTATATATGGAATAAGAGAATGCTGCTCATAACCAAACTATCAAATAGCAGCGAAGCTCTAGTCAAGGCCCTAAAAATCGAAGCGGCCTATAAGATTTCCGAAGCAAGGGAGCTGAGACTATTCCTAAAGAAAAAGAGCCAATGAGAAAAACTAACGGCACCATGTTGAAAGGATTTTTGGGAGAATTACGGAAGGCTGGCATCAGAATCAAACTAGGGAACTAGAAAGGGAGCATTAAATGTTATCGCTGCGGAAGAAGAAGACATTTTAAGCCTAATTGTGGAGTACAACTGGGATCTCGCTCTCCTTGTGACTGTCAACCTTCGATTGAGAACTTGCAACGTTGAGCATGTCCAGCTCAAGACAAGAACTGCCTCAGAATTGATCAGCTAGGAAGAGTTCCTGTTAGAAGCTTCCGATTGGATGCGGATCAAGAATGGAGTCCCGAACCGCTGGGAAGTGAACAACTGAAAGAGAGTGACTTAGAACTAGAATCATTTTTCGAGATTGAGGAAGCGAAATGAAGCCGGCAACTGAAGAAAGAAAGACCAGGAACAGAAAGATTTGTTAATTGTGACTAATCCTGATCCAGAAGGTCAAAGTTATCCTTCAAACGGAATGCTACGAGTACTGCGACCATCAACGAAAGCGCAGGAAATACAGTTGGCAGCATCGCAATCAACAGGGAACAGGGGTGCGATTTTCGAAACCATTCGAGTACATTTCGTACACGAAATTTGACTGCTCCCCATTTAATTTACATTGCTGTCAGTCAAATTTCGTGTACGAAATGTACTCGAATGGTTTCGAAAATCGCACCCCAGGACCAAGTAACCATTCGCCTAGTATCCATCACGTCAATTCAAGGAAAGAAGTGCCATGTATACATGAGGGTAGATCTGGGAAGTCAGGAAGGCCTAGCGGTCTAAGGTGCTGGAAGGGGGGGGGGGGGGGGGAGGCATTGTTAGGAAATTGCTTCGGGAGCCTGGCCGGATTCTAAGAATGCAATAATTGGATGCGTAAACAATTCAGAGAATTATATTCAAGTAAAGCACCAATTAGTTTAATAAAAGTTTTTACTGTTTGTGAAGTGAGTTTTAGTGAACCCGGAATCCATGACAATGTGGTGTCGTATCTAAATGTTCCACTATTTTTGATGAGCATTTGATATGCTTTAAGTAAAGTAACATATCTCTCATTTCTTAGAGTATTTTTTGAATTTTTAACTGCAATTTCTATACCTTCCTAAAACCTATTAAAATTGGTAATTTATTTTCCATTGTTACCTACCGCCATCATTCCATACAAATTTCAATAGCATGGCTGTGCTGCAGAAAATTGCATGATCCATTGAAAATATAAAAGTGGCTCAATAAAAGAAGAACAGGTCGATAGACAAAAAGAGAGACTTATGATTTATGTTTGGACTAGCGGTCTGTTTTATTTACAATCTCAAATAGGTACCTACTAACTAATCCCAACTCTAGACTCTAGATATTATTTTCAAATTCATTTTCAAAAGGTTTAAAGTTTAGGGCCAAGCCAAACTCGCAGAAAATATAAATGGATTTTTTCAGAACCACAAAATGTAGGATAGAAAAAGGTTTTTTTATTTGGCTCAAGTTTAGATTTATCTATTCGCGTACGTATTTCCAACCTTTTTCAAACTCAACTCAAGAACAGACTTTTTAAAATTTTTCTACGAGTTGGATTAGAATAATTTTCACCGGAGTTTGGTTGGTAGAAGAGGAGGCAATTCCGGAAAAATCCGGAAGAACGAATACCAGTCAGCTACTTAAACAATCACCATTGATATTTAAATTATAATAAATTCAGTTTGAATCAATTTTTTCTGAATAAGAAGTCGGGTGTGTGACTTTCAGCACCTATTGTCGCAACTGTTTCTTATAAAACCACTTGGGTGATATCTGACAATTTGAGACAATATAAAATTATTTATCTAGTCTATAATAATTGATTTGCACTTACTTAAAAACTTTTTTCTTTCCATCAGGCCTCTGTTCATGAGATTGGTCATCAGCATAAATGGGTTTATCTTCGGTTTTAGCAGCATTCATTCCAGAAATCAAGTCCGTTTTGTAATGTTTCTGGATCTCCTCGGACGTGAGAAATTCTCCAGGTTTCGGCCTCACAGAAATGGCAATATTGGCCGTAGATTTACCTGCTACACAAGTATACGTCCCCATATCCCTTAAAGACAAATTCTGCACCCTTAAAGCTCCTTTTTTAGAACTCTTAAACTTCTTAGTCTGTTGTAAAAGGGTATTGTCTTTTTTCCATTGGATTTTTGATCTATCGAACCTTTTGACAGGACATTTAATTTTAACCGTAGTCCCTGTAAAAAGAGTAGCGGCTCCGCCGACTTTGACGGTAACTTTATTTTTCTTGGGATCATGTTGAATGAAAGTACTATTGGTAACACTGATGTGAGGCTGGTCGGTTTCTATGATGCAACTTTTGGAGTTGCACGGTTTTTTGTCCAGTGGTCTCGGTGTCGGGCACATGGTCGGTGGACGGTCCACAGTGTGGTTCTGAGCCATTACTTGTTTGCAGTCGACTTTTCGGGATTTCTCCCCGCCGCCACAGGCTTTAGAGCATTTGGACCAATCCGAAACTTTCCATCTGAAATTCAATATATTCAGATTTAAGAGAGGAGAAAATATTGATGTATTTTTTGTGGGTACCTTACTGCCTTAATGTTGAATACGAGTCCACGATTATTATAGCTAATAATTATTATAATGATATGATGATAGGATAGAATGATCGTTGAATCAGATTTCTAAAAATAGCCAAAAAGGTTTTAATGAGTTTCTATTTGTTTGATAAATTTTTCGCTTTCCTCGTAGCAACCAGAAACAAACGCTAAAGGGTCATTGTGATTGTTAAAGGGATTAAATTATTTGAAAAATAAGCCGTCAACGAACTCTGTATTAACCGATTCAATATACATTTTCACTCCATGGAAAGCGATTGGACGCATTATATTCACACTGCATGTAGTTCAGACTTTGTTGTACCCACATAACAAAATTGCATCCTTAGAATGTAATGGGAATGTTCTTTTTTTAGGAGGAATGTGCTTAGGATGTTCGCCAAAACCATTGCGAATGTCCTGAGAATGTCCTGAGAAAAGATTTTTACTCCAAACGTCAAAAAAACGTCACTTTGTTAACCCCTGTCAAGATGTCAGAAATTTAATTTCTATGTTGCTAGGCAGATCCAGCGGGTTAACACCTATCGAGGTGGTAGAAATTCAATTTTTCTCCGAATGACAGTAAAAGCGGCCTTCTAATGACACTTGACAGGACCAAAAGTTGTATTTTTACTGCCTAGGCAGTAAAAGTGGACTTTTACTGCCTAGGCATTAATGAAGATTATGAAAGATTATGTCCAAATCATTATTGTTGAATATTTTTAACATTTTTAATAGTTCAAATGACTTATTTCTTATACGAACTATCTCGTTGTTTCAGAGCCTTGAAAAAGAAAATATATTTTTCGAAACGTCGGCATATTAAAATTGGGTTTTAATTATTCCTGATCCAAGAACCCCAAAAATACCTTATATTTATTTTTATAATTTGTTCTTCAATTTTTAGATTCTCCCTTATAAATGTTTCAATATCTTTTGCCATCAGTGCATATTATCATATCATTGTTAAGTTTTTACCTGATAAATCTTATCTTATCTATTCTTGAAATATAAATATTATATTTTAATGTTTTTATCTAATTGTGGGCCTCCATTTTGTGTGATTGGTGGTTCCACATTTTTCTGAGGTAAGTCAATTCAGATTTTTGGACTAATAAATAAAGTCTGTTTTTTTTTTTAAATATAATAGACCTATCTATTTTACCAGACAAAGAGGTTATCATAGGAAAACTTCATTAAATAAAAAAAGACACGGAACGTTCATTGCGCAAGACGAGGCAAAATGTACCTACCAAATTATGTTAGACTTTCGTATAGAAATCCGTCCTTCTTATTTGCACGGGATAAAAAGGGAAGAAGAAAAACCGCGTGTTGTGCAACGTATTTGTCAATGAAAATGTCAAACAACTTTTGAATGACATTTGCCAAGTTGAATATCAACTTTAGATTTATTTTTGTCAGACCACGTGCAATGAACAAGGACAAAGAGATGTCCAGCGTGCAAAACGATCACCCCACACCTGTATTGGCTAGCCAATAAAAAGAAATTGCCTCGTGTTGCGCGCGCATAACAGGTAAAAATAGATAGGTCTATTCCCCAAGTCAAAAATTTAGTAACGAAGTTGGCAACACAAGTCTTTTCTACATAAAAAATTTGAAAGCTTTGACAATTTTACATTTTATTGACAACACAATGTCATTTTGACTTTTATCTTTAAAAAAAAAAAAAACACATTTTAGGTACTGCTGCTCTGGTTTTCAGAATCAATTGTTAGTGTGGGAATATTGGACCATTTGCTCTAAATAGAGTCGGTGAAAACCAAATTTGTGTGTCCATCCCTATCAACTCTTTATTGAATGCAGGCAGAGGCCTGTATAGCCATTTTCTGTTTGACTCCGTCAATTAATATCTTCTCGGAGAGAAGAGTGTTGAAAAAGGGTGTAATTTTCTAAAATATAAATCCAGACAGGTCAAAATAGTACATTAAAATACAAGTTTCATAAGACGTCATTTTATCGCACGAGCCCTATATTAGAAAACGAGCCGGAGGCGAGTTTTCTAAAGGGCGAGTGCGATAAAATGTCTTATGAAACGAATATTTTATACTATTTTTTCTATTTTGGTATTGTTTAATTAAAAAAAAAAACACTTTTCTTGGAAATTTTATTCTCATATTTCCTGATTTCATATGTTTAGGTTGGCAACACTACATGCCAATTATAGAAATCTTCTAATATTTTTTATCGCGAATGACAGTTCGATGGCCATCAGTCAGCCAGTGTTACCAACCTCCGAGAAGTAAAAAAGGAGTGTCACAAAGAGCTTCTTTTCGAAACTACTTTTAGTGTCGAAAAGACTTCGATATGACACCAAAATAGAAAAAATTCATTTAAAAAGTTTTAATTGAAACATCTCAAGTATTTTGACATATTCTGGATTTGATTGATTTCACCCTCAGGTTTATCTTGTAGTACCTGTGGTTGCTACCTTAATTTAAAAGGAAAATTTTGTCTATTTGGGGAGAATTTAAAGATTTACTTTCTTAATTTTTATCTGATTTTGTTCATATTCGTGCCTGTTATTGCTACTGCCAGAAAAGCAGCATTTTGCTTAATAATAGCGAGCATTTTAATTTAATTTTGCTGTTATTACCTATTTTAATTTCACTATTATCTTACCATTATTTTCAATTATTTGATGTTTTTTTTATACTAAAATATTTCCCCAACTTACAATGATTCTGTGAGAAAGAAGTGTCTGCACAACAATAGTTTTATATTAAATTTCAATTTAAATTTTCTTTGCAAGACACTTTTTTTTTGACAGAATTCAGGGATAATATTCCAAATCTTGGTGAACTTGATACTGCCTTATTCTTTTCTGGGTACCTACTCGACATAAAGATCACTGTTTGGAGTCTGGATCAGCTGGAGTGACGTCACCCCAGCAATCTATCATCTTTCCTGGATACAGGAAACAACCTGAAGAGCTCCAGTTCACAAAAGTGAAACCCCAACATCCAATGAAGAGCTCCGGATTGGAAAGGTACATTGTATCAGATTCACCGGAACAACCAAGCTGTCAACCGTCAAATTTTACAGAAAGTAACATCGACTGTTACTACATTACAGTAAACAAAATAAAATAATTGTTTGTTGGATTTTGAGTGGTTTCATTTGCACATAAAGGGGTTACACGTTATCTTAATTTTTTGAATTCCACGACTCTAGGTTCTCTAACTCGTAGCTCAAAAATGTGAATTGAACTATGGAGGAGAATAAAAATAGTTTCAATATGAGATATTTATCGTAGGTGAAATAACCGTGGTACGGGTCGAGGTCATTCGTCAACTGTAAGACAAGGAGTAGTTCTCACAATGGTCAGGTTCATCAGGACGTAGCGCTACAGTAGCGATCATCAACAATGTTGCCAGTTTATTACAAATGTAGCAAATCTATTACATTTATCAAAGGTTAATAGGGCAATCCTACCACCTGTCAAACACAAATTCAAAATGCAGGTCAATGCCTTTTTATTTTTAAAAAATGCCGTTTTATTGCGATTTTTGATTTGTATAAAGTCTTAAAGTGGTAATTTTTTGGAAAATGCATACTTTATGTATAGTACTTAGTTGTGAAAACCGTTCTAATCGCGAGAAAGTCTCGTTTCATGCCGTTCCTGCAGTGCAGAGACAAAACCCAGGTTTTTAACGGAGAAAAATGATTTATCTGTACTTTGTAAGGGCTTCATGGATTGTAGCAAAAAAGAAAAAAACTGATGAAATCCATATTTAAAAACCAAAAAGTCTCTCTACATAAACGGTGTATGGATCCAAGCCATGTACTAGGTATCCTCCACAACTTGTGTCGATACCTTGAATAGCAAACCAATAAAATAAAATATACATCAGGATTCAGGATTTTGTTAAGAAAAAACTAAACAGGAAACAAATCCTGGATAGTTCTTACCTAATTGTTTAGTAGGTAAAGGTTTGTCACAAAGAAATCATAACTTTTGATAACATCCGGGTTTTCCACTAATAATTTCTCAAACTAAAAACTCTCCATCTCAAAATACGAAAATTATCCTTCCAAGCGCTAGAAAATCATCTAAAAACACCACAAAATACACAAAAAACAGTTTTTTGAAGAAAAATCTCACGGTTGTTTGAATTAAATCCATGGCGCCAATTTTTTGGCATTGGCCGCCATTTTGTTTGGATTGCCCTATTATTTACATTATTACATTTCCAATAAATCTATATATTTTCACTTATTTAACCAAAAATTATTAAAATTAATGAGTTCCGCTTGAAACACTGAGCGCTCGGACCATTTCCCATATTTTTTTCCTTTAGGTGAGAAGACCAGGGATAAAATTTGCTACAATTGTAATAATTTGGCAACACTGCTGATGATCGCTATTGTAGCGCTACGTCCTGATGAACCCGACCAATAATTTATTTAGACATGTTGGTAGGTTCCTACAAAAAAACTTGGAAATCAATATTCAATACATTGAAACAACAGTGAGAATTTTATACTTGCTAGACAGAAATGGAACACATCAGCCTCTAACACACCTCAAAGCGCAAGTTTTTGATTTATTTCTGTACGATGTTGCTCCAGGAAGATCCTAGTAGGTACCTTCCTATTTTTCTTTTTGGTCGGATTTTCTTGATCACAGATGAGAGCAGCACATGATTTATAACATAAAATAATTTGCAATCTGATTCAAGATTAAGCATTGAATGCATCAGAAAAAGAAAATCGATGAATCAAGGTTAGGACCCACTTTTTTCAAAATCTTGTTCCGCACTCGCTCCAATGCTTCAACGTGGGTCACAAAATGCGAGGTCCATCATACACCAAAGAAAAAATTAAGAGCAAACAGAGAGCAAATACTCCGAAATTCCTGAGAAAAACTTTTTATATAACCCAACATTTTTAATGCCTTATTTTACTG